GGGGACCCAGAGCTCCAGTAAGAGGGACCTTGGGGTGCACGCCTACCCTTGAGGTGTGGCCCTGGACTGGGCTTGGAAAGATTCGGGGCAGAGCAGAGTCCTCGCCGCAGGACACGGTCACCTTCCATCACCTGGGCTCCCACGACCTAGAGGAAGAGCCAGGCAGCCCTTCCCCTCCCGGCCATTTCCTTCCTGAGTTCCTGCCTTTGTCTCCAAGCTCTCCCAACCCAAGGAGCCCCGCAGAGGGGACTGGAGGAGTGGCCGGGGTGGCAGGCCACCGATGTCCTGCGGGCAGGGACTCTTGTGTGGCAGGGCTGAACCCTGCCCTGTGCCAGTCTGGAGGCGACCTAGGAATGACCTCCCTGGCAGCACATGGGCTCACGCACCCGAGGGACAGTCGCGCCCCCCACACTGAGCCAGGAGAACTGGGAAACCAAGATGCTGTCTGAACCGAGACTGTGCGCCAGAGAACTGCGCCTCTGTTCCCCTGACCATGCTGGGGCTGGAAGAGCTTCTGTGGCCACCTGGACCCCAGGCTCAAGGAAGGACCTCCTGCTTTGGGTGACCATCTTGCCTCCTACTCACCTGACAGCAAATGCAAGACAAGGAACGCGCTTATGTTTGCTGGCCCAGCCAAATTCCTCACTTCGTCTCATCTGACTGTCTGGGGTCAGGACACAGGCACCATCATTTTATAATTAGCACGTTAATTATCTGAGGATAAGTAGCCTCTTGGTTGTTTTATATTTTTATCTATCAATTTATTATTTGGGCTTTTGAAATGGGGTCTTGCTGTGTATGTAGTTCAGACCTGGAAGTCACAGGGATCCTCCTGCCTCAGCTTCCTGAGTGCTGGGATTACAGACTTGCACCACTGAGTTAGGCTCCTTGGTTGTTTAAAAAAAAAAAAAACAAACAAAAAAAACCACTTTTGTTGATGTTTGTGGTCCGGGGCCGAAAACCCAGGCCAGGTGCTCGGCCTGCTGAGTTACACCTCCAGCACTTATTAGGCTTTATTCTGAGACAAGACTCATTATCTTGTTCGGGCTGGGTCTGGAACTTGCAGCCTCCCTGCCTCAGCCACCCCAGGAACTGGGATTACAAGGGTGTGTCATCATGCTTGGTGGTAAAGACACTGAATTTCCTTCCCAGTTTGCTGCCTCTGTTCATGTGCCCAAGGATACTTAAACAAAACAAAAACAGCACGAAGGAAAGTTTAGAGGCGGAGCACAGGTAAAGCAAAGCGTTTGTTCATGGGGAAGACAGAGACCTTTCCTGAGCTCCCTTCGGACTGGCCTGGCCCCTGCAGCCTGCTGTATCTGGCTCTCCTCTAGTTCAGCCCACATCTGGGTCCCACGGAAGGACCGAAAGCCCGGTGTGCTGGCGCTGCCTGTCATCCCAGCACTCAGCAGCCTGAGGCAGGAGGACTGCTGCAAGTACAAGGTCAGTCAGGGCTGCAAAGGGACTTCAAGGCCAGCCTGAATTACATAGGGAGACCCTGTCTCAACAAGATGAAGATGGAGAGGAGCCAGCGGTGTCATTCCAAGTGGCCGCGTCACGGAGCTCAGAAGCAGATACAGCTCTGACAGACTGAGGCTGCTCCTTCTCCAGGCCAGGACTCCTCCCCAAGAAGCCTCCTTGGCCAACCCCACCCACAGCCTTTTCCTGCAGGCCACCTGGGGCTGAGGCACGGGCTTCCCCACTCTGGGCCGGGGGTACCCTCCCTGCACCATCGGAGTCCCCACCTACTGTACCAGTTAGACATTCAGCCTCCTGGTCTCCGGGGCCTCGGGCTCTGCAGCTGTCACCAGGGCAGCACCCAAGGGTGCATCCTGGCTATGGTTCTTGCTTCGGGGGACAGAAGGTAGCCTAGAGGCCTCAGTGGACAGTGACACTGCCCCCTGGTCACTGATGGCTCTGCTTGGTCGTTTGTGAATGACCTTCTTTCCCTGCTTGGGTCTGAGTGTCCCTGACTTAAGAATGCAGAGGCCACCTGGTTCCCCCAGGCCATTGTACCACGGTCCTGAGGAGCAGAGGGCCCTCATGCCCAGCTTCGAACACTTTGGGAGGGCCAAACGTGCTGGCCTCTGCTTTCATAGCAGCAGCCAAGAGGAACCCAGGCTTCGGGGCGATGCGCCCATCTCTGACCCTAAGGGCTGCTCCTTCGAGTACCTCGGCTTCTCCTCTGTCCTGGGCACTGCCTTTCAGGCAGGGCATGACATTATCCGCCCAGGACCTGGGAGGAATCGGAAGCAGGTGGCGTGCTGTCCAGTCTGCTAGAGGGTGCAGCCTGGTCCTTCCTGGAGGCCCGAAGGTGCCTCGCCATGGCTGGGGTCTTCAGGAGTCACATGGTGAATTCCCTAGGGCTGAGGCGGCTCCCATGGGCTCCAGGATGGTGTCGATGACCACAGCTGAACTCTGAGTCCTTTGGCCCCCTGCAAGGCTTCCCTGGCAGGACAGGAAACAGGTCCAGAGGTCTTGCAGCCTGTGTACTAGAGCAGAGGAGACTGGGACAGATGTCTTCAGGGCTGCCAGGCCACCTCCCCTATCACACACAGCCTGGGGCACTGCGCTAGGACTCAAAAGAGCTCTTGCAATGTAAGGGCCCATCTTGACTCTGTGTCCTGGGAGGCCTGAGAAAATGACCATCGCAGCTCCCTCCAGGGCAGGCATGCTGGGGTACACCTTGATAATTCAAGCAACAGTGGCAATAGCAGGCTGGATGTGGTGGCACACACCTGTAATCTCAGCATTTGGGAGGCTGAAGCAGGAAGATCACCGAGAGTTTGAGGCTGGCCTGGGCTACACAGTGAGTTCAAGACCAGCCTGAACCACATAGCAAGACCTTGCCTCAAAAATCAAACAAGTTAAAAAATGCTAATAGCAATGGGATCCACTGCTGTATGAAGAGGAAATTCCAGCTGTGTGAGAGACACTGTGTACTTCCCGGACCCCCACCTCTCCTAGAAAGATAGAGTGGAAATGGAACAAAAGGCCCAGCTGTTTTTAAAAGTGCTTTTGAAAACAAAGCCTAACCGGATCCACAGTGACAAATAAGATCACTTTGTTTACAGACATGAAACACACGGTCCTAGACATGTTGATTCACTATTGAAAAGACACTGTCCCAGGTCCTGGAAGCTGTAGGGAAGAGGCAGAAATACTTTCCACTTCGACAAAACAGCCTGGGGCTGTGGGGCTCAGCAGACCAAGACCAGACAACAGCTCCTGCCAGCATGGACTGTTTTAGGCACGCACTTGATTATTTCTTAGTCAATCACTCGATTGTGTGCTACGGATCAAACCCAGGACCTTTGCACTGAGCTACATCTCCAGCCCTTTCTATTCTTATGTTATTTTATTTTTTATATTTTAAGAGAGGGTCTCTCTAAATTGCTCAGGCTGGGTTGGAATTTGTGATCCTCTTGCCTCAGTCTCCCAGAGTGCTGGGATTACAGGCATGCACTACTACACCTGCTGAAGAAACGTCTTAAAATGAAAATAAAAACAGGGAACGCTGGAGCCTTTCCTTGAGGCTCTGCGGACAGTACTGCAAAGTGCACTGACAGGGAATTCAGGACTGAGTTTCTGCTGTCCCTTCTGTGCTGTGGGGGCCAGTCCTGGTGCCACGGAGGCCCACACCTGAGTTCAGAGTCGGTCCGAGGGCACAGCCCAGGCAGGTGTAGCCCAGGCGGCCCCTGTGTGGAAGGGACCAGGCTGGGGAGAAGGTGGGCACCAGGAGGGCACTGTCAGCAGGGTGAGAGGGCCCAGCCCAGGCGTCTCCGGCAGGAGTCCTGGACCTGGAGCAGGGGTCAGCTCTCCTGGCTGCCTGGGCATCCTGGAAACCCCCATCATTCCTTGTTTCCCTCCATGGCTCCTGGAGCGAATTCGGGCTGTGGCCACCTGTTGACACTGTCTTGTCAAAACGTATGGAAGTGTGATGGGTTCTAGGCCAGAGGTGGTTGTTAGTTTAGTTTGCGACAAGACTCAAACATGTCCGTGGGTGAGCAGCCTGGGAATTCGGCTCTGGAGGAACGAGACCGGTCCCTCCGGTCACACAAGACAGGCGCCTGGTCCCCGCCCACAGCACAGCCAGTGTAGAGTCACAGCCCGGAGCACCGGGGCGGGGCGGGCTGGGACTGCTGGTGACCCCGGCAGGAATCGCGAGGCTCCACTGCGCGAATCTGGCTGGTAGAAAATGATGGGGCTCCCCCAACCCCTTCCTCCGCTTCCACGGGAAATAAGGAGTAACCAGGGAGCAGAGCAGTGCCGTGGCAGCTGGACACAAAGGCGCCGGAAGTCATCACAGGCTCTGCAGGGCGGGCCCTGCTCACCTGGGAGCCCGAAGGGATTCCACCTCCCCCCAGCTTCCGGCAGTCCCCAGGGCCCTGGGCCAGGCGTCTTCTGCTCCTTCAGACAAACGGGCTACAAGGTCTGGGCCAGAACCCAGACAGGACCCCGGGGGAGGAGGGGCTGGACACCCAGCCCAGTTCAAGTCAGATCCAAAAACACAGCTCCGAGGGTACCTGTGACCTGCTCACCTCCCAGGCTGAGCCCCCCGTTTAGCTGGGGGCCCTGACTCCCGCACCTCCCAGGCCGTCCAGAAGACCAATCCCGCACACAGCCACGCAGCTACAGCCACATTCGCTACACACTGCACACGCCATTCATACACACAAAACCGCACGCCGCGTGCCACACACAGCACACAGCACAAGCAAACAACCACGCACACCGTGCCACGTGTATCACACACACCCCACGTCACACAACAAGCACACCCACCCCGGGGGCTCGCCCATCCCCTCCCAGAGCCCGGTAGTCCCGATGCCGTGTCCGCGGGGGACCTGAGGGGAGGCCCTGGGTCTCTAGGGACTTTGGAGGACCTGCTCCAGCCGCCTCCGGGGTGAGGGGGGACCGTAATCCCGTGAATCGCCTTTCCCTACGCGTGGCTCACACACGTGCTCATACTAGTGCACGCGCACGCGCACTCAGTGGCCGCCGGGTTAGCGCTCATGAATCGCGAAGTCCCCACCCGCGTCGCGCGCCGGGCTGTGGTCACGGGAAGGGACAGGCACGGCAGCTGGCCTCGCGGAGGGGAAGACGCGGAAGGGCCCGGGGCGAAAACACGCGGGTGCCACACGGGGCCTTTAAGGGGCAGAGGGGCGGTCTTGCGACGCCAGCCCCGCCCACAGTCCACGCCCACCCAGACACGCCCACAGGCCACGCCCCCTGCCGCCTCCCGGCCACTGCGGACGGGCGGGAGGAAGCGGCCGCCGCCGCCCAGACGCGGTCCCTGCCCGCCGCGCTCCCGCCGTCGTCCGTCCGTCAGTCCGTCCGGCCGTGGCCGCGTCCGCCGGGGATGCGTCTGCAGCATGGCCGCGCTGGGCTGGTGGCTGGACATGGCGCAGTGGCTCGCGCTGGTGTCGCTCTTCGTGGCCGCGCTGGCCACAGTGGGCCTGTACCTGGCGCAGTGCGCGCGGGCCGGGGCGCGACCCCAGCCGGGCCGCCGGGCGGGGCAGCCGGACGCGCTGCTGTCGTGGATGCTGACGCTGGATGGCTGGCGCGCGCAGTGGTGGGCCGCCTGGGTGGCCGCGCTGAACGCCGAGGCCGCGAAGACTCGGGTGAGTGTGGACCCGGGCGGGGGCGGGACCCGAAGTTAGGCGGACCCCACCCCGGCATGGCAGCACTGCTGCCCGGCTGTCCCCTGCCCTTCCCTGGCCCAGGCCCTGCCCCGCAGCCTATCTGACCCTGGCCACCCTTCCCGGAGCCCCAGGTGGACCCTGGTGTCCAGTTGGACACCTACAGCTCTGGCCCTCACAGATGAGTATCTGACCTCCATGCGCTTGCATCTGTATTCTAGCGGTACTTTGCCAGGACTTTATTTCCAGGGGCTCACATTTCTGGACCCATAAAAGAGGCGCTTTTCCTTGGCCGGCGGCTGGCGGGACCTGTCAGTGGGCGCTCGAAGGGACTGGTCCCCTCTGCATCAGCGCTGCACCCACGCTCAGGTGTCCTGGCCGCTCTCACACACCCCTCCTTGGTGGCAGCCAGATGTGACCTGGGTTGTCTTGGGGATCAGACTCAGGAACTCATTACTCAACTGGGCCACTTCAGGCTCCTGTGGTTGTTTTCATCATTAATTACTTGTGACTTATTTTTTCTTTTAAACCATTCTAGCTTAATGACAAACTCCCAGCAGCGCTGCTATCTGGAGGTGTGTCAGGGAGGAATTAGGAGCCAGTGGGCTCGGAAAGCCCCGCCCAGTGCTGCTGGCCTCCTCTTCTTTTCAGGGGTGTGTGTGTGTGTGTGTGTGTGTGTAACTGCTTGTGCAACCCGTGGATAAGCCCATGGCTGCTGGCCTTGGGAACATTGAACACTGCTGTGTGTGGACCCAGCAACCTTCAAAATCTTCCACCGCAGCCCTAGCTTGGCCTTTGTTCAGTTGCCTGAGCACCCATGGCTGTGAGATGAGAGAACCCAAACCTCTGACTATAAGTTAGCGTGCATCCAGCAGCTCGAGTTCATGTTCTGAGCCCTTGGAAAAGGTAACTGTAGCTCCAGATGAAAGGAGGCTGAAAGGTCAGTGGATTTGTCTGTCCTGGTGCCTGGAATCCTGGCCCCAGCTGTGCACAGCTGGATGTCCACCCCCCTCCCCGCCAGCTCCTGAGCTCAAAGCCCTCAACTAGGCACAGATACACATTCGTTCCACTGAAACCGCAGTGTCCAGCCTGGCTGAGCCATGTTGCAGGCCCCATCCCCATTCTCTGCAGGCTTTGGACAGAAGGTGGAGAGACCACCTGTGGGACCCTGCCCTGGAGCTCTGGGCTGAGTTTCGGGCCCACAGGCAGCAGCCTCCCTTCTGTGACTTTGGGAGCATCTCTTTCATTTCCGGTCAGGTCTCTGCTGGCTTCCAGAAGTCTGCTGCTGGCCTGAGCCAGGAGGCCTCAGATTCTTTGAGTCTAGAGGGCCCTCAGGGAAGGAGTCCTGCCCTGGTCTGGCTGCTGGCTTGGCCAGGCTGAGAATCGCAAGGAATTTGAGGGCTGGAGAGGAAAACCTTTCACCTGACGACTTGTGTCTTTGCAAAGCAGGGCTTCTGTGTTCAGGACAGGGAAGGAGATTTGGGGGGAGTGTGTTTCTCTGTCCTCTCTGTGCTGGCCTTGCACCCTTGGCATAGACATCAGTTTTTCCAGATTTCCTGACTGGAAGCAGCAGTAACGTACTGGGTTCAAGCTCAAGACAGCCCAGAGCCTCTCTTTTGGAGACAGGTCTCCCTGTGTAGGTCAGGCTGGCCTCGAACTCACAACCCAGCCCATGCTGGCCTCTGATTCTCAGCAATCCTCCTGCCACAGCCTCCCAGTGCTGGCACAACAAGCATGTGACACCACGCCCAGCGTGGTGACATTTTTACATGGATCTGGGTCTACTGTGTGGTGTGGCTTGGTGTGGCACTGCTCAGGAATGCTGACTGTTTTGAATTGAAATGGAGGGTTTTGCAGGCAGACAGGATCTGGTAACTTCTGTGCCACCCTCGCGGCAGGCAGGCAGGCAGCATGGCTGGGCAGGTGCCGGTGGGTGACCTGGGCCTGTCATCCTGCAGGAGTTTCTCTTCCCCGCCCCATCCAGCTCACTAATCCCCGCTTAGGGCTTGCACTCCCAGCCTGCTTTGGGCCAGAGGCTGCAGCTTAGTGGCCTCCCTGCCCCCTGCCTGTCCTGGTCCCTTGCCTGTGCTGGTGTCACTGGGCACTAGGCAGACAGGAGTCCTGCTCTCGGGCTGACCCTGGTGGAGGGACACGGATGACAAGGTGGCCATCCCTGCGTCTCCTGTGGAAGCTAGAGAGGCAGTGATGCCACCCTGTCTAGGTTTTAGCCCGGCTTATCTGGGACAGAAAGAGCCCACATTTGTCTCTCCAAGCCCCTGAGACTTACCAAGGTCAGCAGGGGCCCAGTTGGCCTCTTCTCAGCCCTTTCCTGCCGATTTGACCCTAGACCTGAGCGTTTCCTTTGAACAAAGTCCAGCGAGAATTGCTGGAGGGTGTGCTGTTGTGCGGCTGTGTCCTCCACAGGGCTCTCGGGTCTCCTGGGATCTGGGGGTAGTGCTGACCCTGCTTCTGCCTGCCCTGATGACCAGTGATAGGAGTGTGTCTGAGGGGACCCCAGGTTCCACCTCACCCTGGAAATATTTTTAAATCAAAAAGCAGTGAGTGGGACATGCCAGAGGCACTGATGATCTGTCCACGTGTCCTTATCGGAGATATAGACACATGCGCGTCCCCCACCCCCAAACTCACATTCAGAACGTGTGCTTGAGAAAGAATGTGACCCAGGGCTCCCCGAGGATGAAGAAGCCAGCGTCCACAACCCCAGCAGTCCCTGAGAAGCCCCAGGCCACCCTTCTTGTGGCCTGACCAGCTCTGGGACCCAGCTGCTCTGCCATTTCTCAAGACTGATGCCCTTCGGACCACACATCAGTGGCAGCTGTGGTCCCAGAGCTGGGGTCCTGTGCTACCCCCAGTGCTGAGGCTCCTCAACTCGTGCCCCTATCCAGTCCCCAGCCCACAGAAGCCCTGCACCCAGGGACTCCAAAACTGCTGGCTGCTGTCTTCAGTCTTCCAGCTCACGGGAGTGTTCTAAATGCAAATGGTGCCGGGCATGATGGCACACACCCATGTCATCCCAACATGCAGGGAGGCTGAGGCAGGAGCATCTTCCATGTTCAAGGCCAGCCTGGGCTCCATAGTGAATTCAAAGTCGATGACCAAGGCTATCAGATGATTGTGTTCTTAGAAGAAGACTCTGTGTGGACCTAGGGTAGGTGATCAGTGGCGCTGGCTCATCCGTGGGTTTCAGCAACCCAGTGACAGACTCAAGTGTGGCTGCTGGTTGTGAGTCTGTCAGTCCCATACCAGCCTCTCTGTGACACTTACAGTACTCCAGGCTGCGTGGCTGACCAGCCACCATGGCCACAGCAGCAGAAGTCCTCTGGGATGGTTCTGGCCCTTACAGGCAAAGCTGGGTCTGTTCTCCCAGTGCTCCAGGAAGGGATGTGGGCCTGGAGGTCTGCAAGCATCCTCCCCCTCCCCCCACAGAGGCCCACTGCCAGGGTCACCCTTTCTGTGGCTCACACATTCGGCCTGTTTCCTCTACAGTCTCTCGGGTCATTCCTTACATCTTTGGAGTGCTTATCTTTTTTCTTCTTACTTAACTTCTCTTCATCTTGGAGGTCTCTGCTCAGAGGTACCAGATCCTCCTGTCCTCTAAGGACCCTGCTCTCCCCAGCCCACAGCTGTCTTCCAGAGTCCTCACGGAGCTGGACCTGCCCACAGCCCCAGTAGGCCCTGTTGTTGGGCTGATGGAGGAGACAAACAGTGGCCCTGCGTGTCCCGCCACCTGGACCCGGATCTGGTGTCCAGGTTTGGGGGCCAGCCTAGCCTGGGCAGAGCCAGCTGTCCTGTGCTTTGTCCCTGACTTTGGAAGAATGAGCTTGAAGGGATCTGGCAGTGACTTTGCAGAGTCAGCGTGGAGCCCCAGAGCCTCCTCGGGTGCTCTCGGCTGGCTCCCAGCAAGATGGGAATTCTGGAAAGGGCAGGTGTGGGGTCACTACCAGGCAGGATCCAGCCTCGGACAGCTCCCCCTCCTGAAGGCCAGCTGCAGAGGTCACTCAGGAGGGAGGGACAGCCTGCCTGAGTGAGGGAGGTGGGTCGGGCAGTCCTACAACTCATGCCAGGGTTTGAGTTCCAGCCCTTCCCTTGGCTGGCTGTGTGATCTTAGGCAAGGCCTGACCTCCCTGCACACCATCTGCAGTCTGGAATAACTTTTGAGTCTGGTCCAGAAAATGACCTGCTCATGCAGAGTGGAGGGGAGCTGCTTCTAGATTTGCAGAAAGAGTGGAAAGATAATTTAGAAGGTTTCCTTGTATTCTTTAGCCAGCCTTCCATAATGATTCAGCCACTGGAATCAATACTCGGGAGGCTGAGGCAGGAGAATTGCCAAAAGTTCAAGGGCAGACTGGGCTGCATAGTGCGACCCTGTCTCAAACAAAACCAATCAAACAAACCAATAAAAAAGAACTCAATCAAGAATTAGCACTGCTACAATGTCACTAAAATTCATGGGGAGGATAAACAGTGTAACAGTGTAAGCCCTTAACCATGGTACAGTGTTGCTATAATGGGGCTCAGTGGAATTAACACAGGAAGCCACAAAGAGTTAACAGCGTCACAACACCTTCAGTAACTAAACATCAGAGTGGCTGCTGGCAGTGATTCCTCACTGTTTGCTTCTTTTCTGTGGCCTTGATGCTCCCAGGAGATGGTGTCCTTGTCTTGCTGAGTGTCCCTCCCTGTCCCTAGTTCATTGTCATCATTTCCTTCTTTTCTAAGTGCAACCTTAGGCACTAAATTTCTCTGCAGCATCTCCAGGGTTTGACCCAGGGTGGCACAGTGGGTGGCTGGCCCCACTCTGCCGCCCAAGGTTTCCACGCCTATGTGCGTCCAGGCACCAGGCACTGGGCATCTTCAGGAGGCCGAGACAGTGCTCGCTCTGGGCCAGCAGGGGAGGGCATCTTTACATGGCACCCACCTGACTGGACCTGTGCTAAGCACTGTCCTCACAGCCAGGCGGGTCCAGTCACAGACAGTGTCACCACCAGGCGCTCAGCCAGTGGCTCCACCCGAGCCAGTCTCAGTCCTACACCCAGTCCCTGTGGGGTGTAGATTTCTCAGTCCCTGCTGCCTCCTGGGGATGAGGTGGGCGTGCTGGGATGGGGTGGGGCTGGACATGTATAAGTCCTCCTGCTCAGACTCACGGTGGAGGTCTGCCTCTGGCGCTGGCGCCTCCTGGGGAGCAGGGAGGGAATCCCCAGCCACCTGGCCCAGTCATACCCCCACCCCTGCCTGAGAGCAGGCCTTGGAACTGGACTCCGAGGCAGAAGGGGTGCTCTGGGCTGGGCTTTCCATCACAGCGAGCACGGAGGGAGGCTAGAGGGGGCCTCAGCATTGGGGATGCCTGCGGCCTCTTGAAGAGCTCACTTTGAAAGGACAAGACTTGATTGCCTCTTCAGGCCCGCCTTGACTCCTCTAGGCTGCATCAGTTTTCATGCCATGGGCCCCATTCATTTCATGCCATGCCACGTGGAAATTGTTTAATTGTAAGAACCAAAAGAAACCGGAGCCAACAACTATGGTGGGCTGTGGAGATCATTTTGGGCCAAAGCAGAGGGGACAGGGATGCCAAGGGCAGGAGCCAGGCAGCTGTGGAGGGCTGCGAGGCAGGGCTCAAGGACCCAGCCACCTGGCTGGCTTCTTCCCAGCCCAGATTCCACGGAGAGGCCACTGTGGGTTCCTGCCCGCCTCCTGCCCAGGCTGTGGGAGAGGAGAAAGGCACCTGGAGTGACAGGCACAGCCACTTCCTGCGATGGGCAGAAGACACGTTGGACAGGGGAGACTGGGCTGGTGCTCCCCAGAGCCTCAGGGGTGCAGGACGGAGCCCACTCCAGAGGCTGCAGTCCCTTCCTTCTGCCGTCACCCTCAGTGCTGAGTTCACTCCTTGCTGGCTTCTTTCTTTCTTTCTTTGGTTGTTTTATTTAGTTTTGAAACAAGAGTCTCACTGTGTAGCCCAGGCTGGCCTTGAATTCTTGGTGATCCTCCTGCCTCAGCCTCCCGAGTGCTGGGGCTACAGGTGTGCACCACCACACCTGCCTTCCCTTGCTCCCTGGATTGTGCCACCTTGGGCTTTGTTCCTGGCCTTCTCTCCTTTCCCACCCCCTCCTGCCGCTGAGCACTGAGCCAGATGGGAGACACTGGCAGCGGACCCTAGGTGTGTGTGCTGCCCGCAGAGCTGTGGCCACTGGGGAATAAAATATATCGTGGGCTTGAATTTTACAACTGTAAATCACACTGCCAGGCATCCGCTCCGCCTCCCCTCACGCTGAGCACATGCTTCCCATCATGCGGGCACTTTCTACAGCAGCTCGGAGTCCCTTTCCTGAACGTCTTTATGAGATTCTATCAAAATCTAGCTGCTGCCACACTAGGTCCCACAGAGAGGCGGCTCATAGAAACCTGCCCTGTGTCCTTGCCTGCCTCAGTCACCAGATCTGGCCAGTGTGACTTCCGGCTCCTCCCCCAAGTCACAATGACCATGAAAGGGAATGTTTTGAATCCATTCAGGACATGAGGCGGCCAGGACAACGCCACTAAAGACCCCGAGGAAAGGGGAATCTGGAGCTGCTGCAGGAAGCGGCCAGGATGGGGGAGCAGCGTGCTGGAAGCAGGGTGGCGGTTGGGGTGGGGTCCTGAGAAAGGTTCCTGGCAGTGCATCTTTAATGTTAATAAATTTTTAAACATTGAGACATTCATCATAGTTTTAGTGGAAACCTTGCATTTTGTTAAATTTGCAGACCTTTATGCAAAGCGTGTAACTATTTTTAAAAGAAGCAGCACCACCTCTGGCGCCCTCCTTACAACGGCTCCTCTTTTCCAGGGTCCGCTGCGCCTCTCCTTCCAGCAGGACCTGCAGCCGCAGCCTCTGGAGCTGGCGGTCTCAGAGGTGTCCAGTGTGGCCAGGTCAGCCCAGGAGAAGGTAAGTGGGTATTCACCGGGGGAGGCAGGTGGGAAGCTGGAGCTGTGACAGTGCCATTTGTCTTGGATTTTTTTGTATGTGCCAGGGATCGAACTCACAACCTCGAGTTTGCCAAGCAGGTGCTTATGCTGCTGAGCTAAACCCCCGGCTCCTGTCTTGGAATTATTGACATCACAGAACCCTTAAAAAAATCTGAGCTCTAATTTCTGCACTCTGGGGGGCTGAGGCAGGAGGACTGCACATTTCAGCCCAGCTTGGGTGACTTTGGAACGTAGCAAGATTCTGTCTCAAAGATAAAAAATAAATAGAATGGACTAGAGGTGTTGCACAGCTTAAAATCCGTGGGTTCAATCCCCCAGGTCCAAACTAATAATAATAATAATAATAATAATAATAATAATGATAATGTTCTGGGGCATCATGGGTAGTTTGTATGCAAGGTGTAGTCTGTCCACGGAAGATTGTATTACTCAGCCTCAGAAGCGAAGGGGCCCTGGTGCGGGCCGCCCATGGGGGAAACATGCCAATCAAGGAAGCCACGTGCAAAAAGTCACGCGTTTGGGAGAGTATTGGCAGGAGCAGGGAGCGTGGGACTGCACTGTGACTGCTGAGGGCTCGGGCTTCTTGCTGTGGCCTGCACAGAGATGGCGGAGGCTGCTCAGTTGTGAGTGTGCTGGGGCCTTGTGCGGTACTGGCAGGGGAAGGGGACAGGGGTATACGGGAGAGTGGATAGCTCCAGTATGGGTGACAGGTGCAGCTGGGTGCGTGCTCCTGCCACGCCCTGGGGGCTCTTCAAAGCCCGACTCCCCACTGTGCAGAGAGGAGAGTCTCCTTTAATGCTCCGCACCTGTCCAGTCCCCTCTGTGTCCCACCCACAGAGCCTTTTATTATTTTTGCTTTGTTGGAGACAGGATCTCGAAGTGCAGTCCAGGCTGGCCTTGAACTTGCAGTGACTCTCCTGCCTCAGCCTCCCGAGCACCCTCCCGTTTTCTGAGTTTGGGCCGTTCTTTCTTTATCCCTGGCCTCATGGGTCTGCTTTACCTGTGTGTGTGACATCTATGGGTCTGCGTTTCCATTTTGAAATCATGTGTGGGCCCACTTGATGGACCATAAGGGGAACAGCAGGGGTCCCCAGGGGAGCAGGAGCATGCTGTAGGCCCCACCCACTGCCTGCTGTGTCCTTGCGGTGTGGTGAGCATTTTGAGCACTTTATTACCCAGTCCCCCAGCTTCCTGGCAGAGTCCAGCTGCTTCCTCGGGTCCTGGTGAGCTTGGGCTTATCCAGCCGCCTGTGGGCTGGGTAATTAGCCGGTTCTCCTTCCGCGAAGCTCCCTGCTGGGACCTGTGGGCTCCTCTCCTGCCTTCGGGTGGGTGTGGACGGCCCAGTCCTAGTGTGTGAGTCTATCCTACTATCCCACTGCCCACTGGACATCCCGGGTTGGTGACCAAGGTGCCGTCTGGTTTCCTCTGCCCATGCAGTGCAGCAGGCGCCCATCCCCACAACCTCACGGTATCAGTATGGCAGCTGTGCTCCAGAGCTCCCGGGGCAGCCAGCGAGGTCCCTATCAGTGGCAGACAGAGGCTGAGCCTCCTGTGGCAGGGCAGTTGGCACTCCTCCAAGGACTGGGGGGCAGAGTGTGCAGGGCTGGTGGAGGGCCGGGAAGGGAGCGGAGGTGTGAATATGAGAGACCCATTTCAAAGGTCTCATTGCCAGACTTGGCTGTAGAAAGCAGGCAGTGGAACTTGTGTTGCTTTTAGCACAGTCACAGTCATATGTGCAAATTAAAAGCTGAAAACTGCTGGGCGTGTGGGTAACCCCAGCACTCAGGAAGCTGAGGCGGGAGGGTCACCGTAGGCTGCAGGCCAGCCTGGCTGCCACAGTGAGTTTAAAGCCAGCCTGGAACATGTAGCAAGGTCTTATCTCAAACGAGTCTCCCCTCCCTCCAAAAAACTAAAAACAATATAGTATTTGTGCACAGCTGTTCAGGACAGCATTCTTGACTGTGGATGAAAGAGAGAAGCAACCTGAGTTGGGTGATGGGTAAACAAATGTGGCGAGTCTGGAAGGGAGCCGAGACATTGGCTTCACCGAAGATGAGCCTGGAGGACATTGTGCAGGAAAAGGAAGACAACGTAAAAGGACGAGCTTGTCTGGAGGAGGCAGGGGGCACCGTGTTGTCCAGGCTACCCTTGAACTCCCTGTGTAGCCCAGGTTGGCCTTAAACTTGGGCATCTTCCTGCCCCAGCCTCCAGAGTGCTGGACTACAGTAGTGGGGCTGGGGCAGAGTCAGCGTCTGCTGGGACAGACTTTCTGTCTGGGAGGAGGTGGGTGTGGGGATTGCATGGCAGTGAGTGTGCAGCGGGTGTGAGTGATGGATGTGTTCAGTGCGATTGGCCTGCACGCTCAGAGGAGGGTAAGAGGGCGAATTCGGCATGCATGTGATTTACCCCAAGAACGCGACTATAAACCAGACACTATTTGTGTTGGAGCATAAGCAGAGACTCTGTACCACCTCTGTCTCCCGCCTTCCTGGGGCATTGCCGGGGGCTCCTGAGAAACAGAAGAGGGAGGTCAGCTGCCTCAAGGGGGGAGACAGGGCAGGAGGCCCCAAAAGGTGGCAGCGACCCTAGGGGCAGCTGAAGATGCTTCAGCCCTTAAAGTGACAGAGGCAGGAGGGTCCTGTCTATTCCCCAGAGTTGCTGCTGATTCTCATAGAGGTCATAACCGGTGTAGAAGTGTGTGTGTGTGTGTGTGTGTGTGTGTGTGTGTGTGTGTCCATGTGTGTGTCCATGTGTGCGTGTGTGTCCATGTGTGCGTGTGTGTCCATGTGTGCGTGTGTGTCCATGTATGCGTGTGTGTCCATGTGTGTGTGTCCATGTGTGCGTGTGTGTCCATGTGTGTGCTCATGTGTGCATGTAGCCCTTTTTAGTTTTCATTTTGAGACAAGGTCTGCCTGAATCACCGAGTTGCCTAGTCTGGGCTCAAAATTATGATCCTCTTGCCTCAGCCTCCCAGAGTGCGGGGATTATAGGTGTGTGTCACCTATGTGTGGTTTGTACAGTTGTTTAAAGCTTTCATTCTTTTATATAATAAACCTTTGTCAAAAAAAGTTGGCATTCTGTAGCCCAGATGTGGTTTACTGGTCCCCTCGGACCCTCCCAGGTTCCGTGCATGGGTTTTTCCTTCTTGGACAAGCGGTGGGGTTGCCCGGTTTTCCAGAAGGGCTTCGTGGCCTGAGCGGACTGTCTCTCATCATGGGTCCCAGCTGCTGCAGCAGGTGACAGGTGTGTCATAGCTCCTGGGATGGGGGTGCAGTGGTGTTCTCGGCGTCTCCCGACCTCCCTCAGGGGTCCAGGTCTGCCTGGGGTCCCTGTGGGCCCCTCCTGCACTCTCTCTTTCCTATGTAGTTCTGTTTAGTTCTTCATTTTTATTGACTTTTTGTGACAGGGTCTCGCTGTGTTGTTCATGTTGTAACCCACCCAAAAAGAAGGCCCCATGATGAAAAACGGGGCAAGATCCCCGAGATGATAAATGGTACAAGACCTCTTTTTTAAAAGAAGCGCTTTTATTTTAGCTGGTCCAGTGACACGGTGCAGATGGAATTTGCAAAGCTGTGCAACTGAGTTAGAATTTTGACTGATTTTTATAGTTCATTTATGATTAGCTCATTGATCATTAAGTACATAGTGATGAGAAACAGAAACAAGGTGGGCCTTTGTTCCCCTTTGCTTGAGGTAAGAGGCATTTCACAGTGGGTGGTTAGCCAATTCTTAGCCCTTAGTCTGCCAATTCCAGGAACATTTTTCTCTCATAAAGGAAACAATGGTTGACACAGCATCGTTTGTCTCTTACAAGGGGAACAAAGGTTGACATAGCATATAGGTTACTTGGGGGGGACGATGCGTACAGAACAGCATAACGATGCGATCAGTTAATCTATAACTACGTGGTTGGTGCTTGGTTACTAGGGTAACGAGCTCAGTACAGAATAACAATACTACTAATAACTATCTTTTTAACTATTTTTGCTAATTATATTTTAATCAATCATTTTAATTTTTCACCATCTTAGTATAACAGTTCAGGCTGGTCTTGAACTCACTGTGCAGCCCTGGCTGACCTCACATGTCCAGCGATCCTCCTGCCTCAGCCTGAGTGCTGGGGTGGTTGTGTGTACCTACCATACACCGATGTCATTGTTGAGAAGAAAAAGCTGCAGTCCTGAGCTCCCAAAGAAGGACAAACATGTGATGCCAGCCCCCCAGGCCCCATTTCTCCTCTAACTCAGCCTGGACCCAAGAAGCGGGCAGTGTCCAGCGGAGTCAGGTGTCAGCCCGCCGGGGCACGAGGGCTCTGCCGAGCAGCATCGTCTTTGGGGACCTCACTTCCAGTCTGCTCTCTGTGACCCGGGCCACACCCATGCAGGTGCAGAGACCTTGCTGGCCCCTCGTGGACACACAGCTCACCCTGCACAGGGCCCTTGCCCAGGCTCTCTTGCCCCCTGCAGCCCTCATGTGTTGCTGCAGTCACCTTTGGCACCCTCTTCCCGTGGAGCTGGTCTGGTGGGGAGGGGGTCATCTCTTGTGACCACAGATGAGCACCAGGTCCCCCCCCCGCGCAGTCAGGCTGAATCAGGGCAGTCTCCAGGCATTTGCACACACGTGTGTGGCTCTTCTCACACCTCCGAGCGCTCAGGTCACTGCCCAGCTCCCGCCAGGGGTCCTGCAGCTCCTCTGGCTCTGCCCCTGGGTCCCTGGACACCGAAGGGGCTCAGCAGCCTCGAGGGTTCCCATGCCCCTGCTCATTCAGCGGTGTCTTCCAGTGGCTCCCGGGATTCCCCAAGGGTGACAAAGCCACTGTGTGAGCAAGATGAGTGGATGGGGGTGGGGCTTGGTGCCCCTCCTGGATGCTTCCCTACACCTGGAAAGCCCGGAGCTACTGTCTAGGGACATTTATGACTGAGGCTTTGTGAAATTGTGACCTGGCGGGGGACCCATTCC